CTGCTGAAAGGTTGTTCTCAGATGCTCCTGTTTACGTTCACTGTCTACAAGTGTTAGAAGTGGTTCCTACAAAATTTAAAGGAGAAGGATTTAATTCCTGTCAAAGAACCACTGAAGTGTTTGTATCGGGCCTTTAGCTGCTGAACTCCTCCTTTGAAGTACTCCGTTTTTCAGTTGGCTAACATGAGCTTCTTTATATGATCAAAGTGTTTAGAGTTCCAGACCTACCTGTTTTTACATCAATATCAGACCTGCTTGGTGATGTGTCTGTAAGTTAAAACCGTCACCTGTTCCGGCTTGCAGAGAGCTACTGTTAATCTCTGCCCTATTTTAACTAATGGCTGCTTAGAGTATTCTCCCCAGACCCTCACTGAGAGGCAGTGTGAATAAGTGTGATACTGAGAATGTTTGCTTACCACAGTTTGGAGCCTGGGGTTTGCTTACAGGTACCTCAAATGCTTTTCAGTGGTTTCTGGTGTCTCTGCATTTCACTTTGTCTCCCTATTAGCAGAGCTGCGGGAAATCTGCAGGGCAAGGTCAAGAATGTTCTTGGTGCCGTATTTGAGTCAAACGCTGACGGTGTTTGAATGTTTTTCAGGTGTCTCAGGAAACATACCTATTTGAAAATCTGTTCCACATCTTGTTGTGTTTGATAGCTAGAGGCTGCTTGACTCCTGTTGTTCCACAATTGGTTCTCCAGATTGCTGTCAGGCTTTTGGTAGTGTCCGTGAACAGAAGTGACTGTGTCTACGCACAAGTCACGTGGCTTTATTCTGCTCTGGATTATCCAAAATACTGCATCATTTTCCTGTCAGAATACCTCCAGCAGCCTTCTCTGGTTGTCTTCTAGAAATGGAGATTATTCTTGCGTCCTCTGATGATTAAAGTTTTAAACTTCTGATAAATGCAGCTTCTCCAGTGAAAGACTGCGTCTGAGCTTTTTTAGGCATGCCCAGCATAGGCATACTTAGTTCCCTTAAGCTATTTTAGGCAGTTACTCCGTTGATCATTTCCTACTTTGAATAATAGTTCTTGCACTTTGAAGCAATGTGAGCCCCAGATTGGGTGCCTCTGTCATAAAATGAGTGATGCTGTTGAGATTCCTTAAAGTAGCTGAGGTTCAAACCAGTGACGTACAGTAGTGAGGGGCCATGGTGGCTTACATCTGTATTCTGTTGGCTGAACTGTACTTCATCTGAAACAAGCTGGTTTGCTGTCATCCTCCTCAGGTGCTTCTGTTCCAAATTCTCCTGCGCTTTCAGTTTTGGGATTGGTGGGAGGTATGTAACCTCAAATACAGGCATGCCCAGATTAAATTAAAGGGAAAGCAAAATTGCATTAGCAGAGCAATTGGATTGATGCCTGAGTTGTTATAACTTGAGCTGCTGCATTTCTGACTCAAATGTCAGTAGAACTGATGTTTTTGCCCCATGCCCTCCAAGTCATTTAACTTAAAAGTGGTGATGAGTGTGGAAAACTCATCTGAGAATAAACGCTTCAGTTATACCTCAAGCTAGCACTAAAATGAGTTAGCCATATTTTATCTGCCCCTCTGCTATGCCCTGGTGAGACCCTACCTGGAGTCCTGCGTCTAGCTCGGGCCCTCAGCACAAGAAAGACATGGAGCTGTTAGAGGGGTTCCAGAGGACTGGAGCACCTCTCCTATGAGGAAAGGCTGAGAGAGTGGGGGCTGTTCAGCCTGGAGACGAGAAGGCCTCAGGGAGAACTGATTGTGGCCTTCCCGTACCTGGAGGGGGCTGATCAGAAAGATGGGGACAGGCTGTTTTGCAGGGCCTGTTGCAATAGGACAAAGGGTAGTAGTTTTAAACTAAAAGAGGGCAGATTTAGACTGGATATAAGGAAGAAATTTTTTTATGATTAAGGTGGTGAAACACTGGCACAGGTTGCCCAGAGAGGTGGTTGATGCCCCATCCCTGGAAATGTAAAAGGTCAGGCTGGACGGGGCTCTGAGCAGCCTGATTTAGTTGAAGACGTCCCTGCTCACTGCAGGGGGGTTGGACTAGATGGCCTTCAAAGGTACCTTCCAACCCAAACTATTCTATGATTCTATCTGGAACTTCATTTCATCCCAAGTGGAGGTGATAAAAATATTCTTCAAAAACCACTGTAGAACAGGAATTACTGTGAGAAGATTTTTTTTTTTTTTTTTTTTTATGTTAACAACAGGATATTGAGGCTGTTGTACATAACTCTTCTTTAGTGAGGTTAAATTGTTCTTTCACCAAGGCTTGTATACAGTGTGATAACTGAATTCCAATGCAGTCAGAAATTGTATTTGTTATAGTAGTCATCTTAAGGCCTGAAGCAGAGGTGCATACTTCAAAGACAAAGAAGGCGTTAGCTTGCTGTTGAAGTAGATCAAAGGGATACAAGCACAGACTCTTTTTCTTCATCAGGGAAAATCACAAGAGGCTCACGCCATTACAACTTAGTACCTATTCAAGTTGATCAGGCTTTCTATTAAACAATCCTGACCAAGGGGCTGAAAGCCCTTTTAGTCAGGGGAAAAAACACCCTTTGTGTCTCTTCTAATGCATTTCAGTAATTGAGATGTACAACTGTAGCACACAACTTGCACAACACATTTTTAAAACACTATTCTATAAGCTCGTTAAGGTAACTTTTATTTTAAGGTTTTGAGGTCAGACTTAAAGTCCTGTGTAAAGAGGAGGTTCAGCCTCGTCTTGTAGGAGGAGTAAACACCATTTACTTAAATTGTCATTATCTGTTTCATGCAGAAACCCATTGAATTACCAGTAATTGGAATTCAAGATGAACTGTTTGTATATTCACTCTCTCGCTTTTCTGTCCTTTCTCCTGCTTCTAGGTCATATTATACCTGAATCTGGAGCTCAGTATAAGGCAGAGCAATCAGTGTACCTCTTTTTAATCCTCTTTAGTACCTCATACCTTTTAATACCTTGTTTCTAAAACATTTGAAACTGCAGGGGATGGAACTGCCACAGCTGTCACTGAGCTTATGGACAGTTTTAGCAAAGATGTTGGACTGTCAGCTCCCAGTGAAGAGCAACAGGCTGCAAATTCTACAAGCTTGAACTCACTGGGAAGTTGTTAGGTTAGAGGTGTTTGATCTTAACTGGCCTGTGGGTTACAAAAATTTTGTGAGCAGCTTGCTTGGTTTGTCCTGTTGTATGAACAAATGTTTGTAATTCTGTGTGACTGTCAGCAGCACTGGAAGGGTGTCTGTGTACTTTAGGTTGAGGACAACATCCTTCGCCTTTTTGGGGCAAGGGGGCAGGCCCTGCAGGCATAGTCAGCTCTAAAACTCACAATGCTTTCCCAGTAGATCTTGCTTGTTCCCCAGAATCCCATGCATTCTGGAGTACTGCACTTTTTCAGTGGCATCGGATAGGTATAACATTAATATGCAGACATTGAGCAAGAACTGTTAAAACACTTGGGAAAAAGCTAATCAGCACATTACCAAATGTTTCTGTTCTTTAACATCTTTACCACTCTGGAAAAAAACTGTGTGGTTTGACCTTTAAAGTGACATGTAGCAAAAGAATGTCCATTTTTCTTCTCCTCCTCTGCAAACCTTTCCCTTAGTGTCTCAGTGTATTCCTAGATTTGGAATGTATACCAGACTTCTGTTTCTGCTGATTCATTTTGGCTCGCTATTTTACCAGTCCATTAAATTGGAAGTGTAGGAAATAGTTAGCTGGAGCTGTGAGAATCTCTTTTAGCCTACCAGTAGTTTGGTGTGAAGTACCAGTGAGTCCTGCAGGTTTCTAGAACTAGAGAAATTTATCAATAAGTGATCGATTCTGCACTGCAGGAGTTTTCTCAGTGATACAGTAATTTCCATAGTATCACACCATTAGCAACTGAGATTTCTGAGTTTGTGTGCCTATAGACTTCTAGAGTCATTACAAGCATTTTAGGGTGCTCCAGTGACAATACACCGTCATTGCAGCTTGTAGCATTGTGCAGCTGTCAGTAGCATAGCTGCCTGCACGATGATTTACATATCTCCTGATATTAAAAAACTTAATTTACTCGGGCTTTTTCTGTGCATATGGAAGTACAACAGGATAAATGTTTTTTTAAATGCAATTTTAACTTGATTTTACTCTTTCTTTCCCCAGTATGTTGTGGTGAGCAGTAAAAAGATACTGTTCTACAATGATGAAAAGGACAAGGACCAGTCTAATCCATCTATGGTACTAGATATAGAGTAAGTAAAGTTACTGTTAGTTCTGGATACAAATTAACAAAAGAGCATTGTGTGTGAGATAACTGATAACAAATCCAGAAGCTTGGAATCAAAATTCCATAAATAATTTTTAATTTCCCATACTCACTGGAAAATGTCTGTTTTATCTGTATTTCAGGGTGCTGTTAACAAAATATGTTACTTTTTCTTTGTCCTACTCTTGCTCAAAGTTAGAGAAAAAGTTCAATACACAATAATGTGGCACTGTCTGTAGTCACTGGTCTGAGTTTACAGAAATGAAGAGCCTTGTTATGCCAGAGAAGGGTCAGAGACAGTGGAACCTACGTATTATTCTCTCTCTTTTTGTGATTCAGTGTTTTTCCAATTGCTTCAACTGCTGCTTTCTAAAGCAGGGCATGATAGTTGTGGGATAGTTAGGGAACTGGCTGTCTGATTTTAGATCTCATCCCCTTGCTTCATATCTTTTTCTTGCTGTCTGAGAAAGGATCAGTGTTGATCAAGCCCAAGGCATTTCTAACTTTTGCAGATGGTTTCTGTTTAGAGTGGCAAAATAAATGAATTGTGATCACTTTACATTGGTTATACATGAGGAAAATTGTGTCAAATGTCACTGAAGCTGATCACAGATACATGGCTGACTGTGATGTTTGAACAGCTGATTGACATTATGGGACCTTATAGAGTAGTAATTGAAAAAAGGTTTTAAAATTCATGAATAGGTCCATCAGTGACTAACAAATACAGTGGTCTGGAAGGAATCTCAAACTCAGGAAGTGCTTAAGCTGCCAGTTGCTCATAACCAGGAAAAGAATTATTTTCTCTTTACATAAATATCTGTTGCGGCATCTGTTGAAAACAGGATGTTGGGCTAGATGGACTTACAAGTACGGTCTTGACCAATATAAGATGATGTTTGTTCCTACTTTAATAGCTTTTTCAACAGCTGGTGCCCCAGATTGCCTTTTGTGACGTTGTCACATTGTTTATCAATTGATAACATGATTTAGTAACAAAATTAGTGAGTAGTACTGTACTTCACTTGGTTACTTCCGTCCAGGGTTATCAATTAAGCTTTTCTAGCGATAATCGGTTAGACTTCCTAGTGTTCTGAGGAAGAATTTGAAAGCCTTTTTCACAGGTGAATTTGCCATGATGGATCTTGGACCCATTGTAAGATCACCCTCTTTCCAAGCTATGAAATGTTTTCGTCTTACTTGGGTAGACGAGCTATACAGCTTGAGTGAATTCCTAAAATCATGTTGCAGCCTTGAAGTACATCATATTGCTTTCATAAACAAGATTCATAAGAACATCAAAGCGCTTTGATAACTGTTTTAAAAACATGCATAGCATTTTAGTATTTTCTGATTCATGTTTCTTCTAATGTAGTAAGCTGTTCCATGTCCGGCCTGTAACTCAAGGAGATGTATATAGAGCTGAAACTGAAGAAATTCCTAAAATATTCCAGGTAAAAGAAAGTGTATTCTCATATCTGTTGTAACTCTCTTGAAAAAGTTTTGGCAGCTTCTTTGAAACATGTATAAAAATATGTAGTGCTTCAACAGTAACACAGACGTATTCTTTTTCAGATCCTTTATGCTAATGAAGGGGAATGCAGGAAGGATTTGGAGGTAGAACCAGTACAGCCAGCAGAGAAGACAAATTTTCTAAATCACAAAGGCCATGAATTTATTCCCACATTATACCACTTTCCAGCTAACTGTGAGGCCTGTGCCAAACCTCTTTGGCATGTCTTTAAACCCCCTGCTGCCCTAGAATGTCGAAGATGCCATGTGAAGTGCCACAGAGACCACTTGGATAAAAAGGAAGAATTAATTGCGCCATGCAAAGGTATGCTCATGGGTTTTTGTGTCACAAATTTTCTGCATGCTTAGCCAGACCTGCTAAACTATTGGAAGCAAATAAAAGCACTTTAGTTTGAAAGTTTTCTGCTCTTTAGTTTTATAATTTTAGATGTGAAAAGTGCTTTTAAAGTAATAGGCTGTTAACACTGGTTATGAACAGGCAGCCGTGGCAAGCCTCTGTAGGGAGGCCTGTGGTGGTGGAACTGATGTGGCTCTGCTGAAGGCCAGGAGAGCACAGGGGTCCCTGGAGGTTTGTGCCCAAGCACTGGGCAGCTCTGGTTCTTGGACAATTCCCTCTGTACTTGCGCACGCCCCACGTTAGGCACAGTGTGGTGGCCGCATCACCAACCTGTGCTGACACCTTGAAGAGTGTGAAGGGTTCTTCAGCCACTTCACGGACTGGAGTAAAGGTTTGCTGCCTGTGCTCCTGTGAGGCAGAGCATTTGGGGTATGTACTCTGGAATTCAGCCATAAGGCACCCATACAACTTTCCAGCTTATTAAAACTGCCATTAATGTAAGTTTTCTTCTTTGTTGAGTATTAATGTTAGAATCAAGAATCTTAATGCAGAGTGACAAATATTGAAAGAAACCATATTCATAATTTCCCCTGCTGTTTATTGTCTTCCAAAAATATATAAACAATTCCAATACAAGTATGTATGTAGGTGCCATTGTTCTTTCCAGTGGCATGCCTGGTATGTCATAATTCTTACTTTGGTAACGAGTCCTAGTTTTCACTGATTCATCTCCTTTTACTTACAGTGAGTTACGATGTAACTTCAGCAAGAGATATGTTGTTATTGGCATCCTGTCAAGATGAACAGAAGAAGTGGGTGACTCATTTAGTAAAGAAGATCCCTAAGACACCACCAACTACTTTTGTTCGTGCTTCTCCTAGAACTATGTCTACCAGATCCTCAGCAAATCAGTCATTCCGAAAAGTTGTTAAAAATACTTCTGGAAAAACTAGGTGAGAAACTACAAAAGCTACGTATTTTTTTAACTAAAAAAAAATCTCTGTTCATAAATGTTATTTAATGTGAAATTGCAGAATAATTGCATAGTTATGACTGTTGAACTGCTGGTCTAAATCTTTGCTCCAATCCTGAAGGAAGGAAGGGACAGATTTCTCCTGCTATTGTGGTAAATTTATTGTTTTCTTGGATTTGGAAAGGTACTGTAGAGATGGCAGTGCCTGGCCTGCCGATGCATGTGAGGGAGCTGTTTGCATTTTTTCCTGTTTAAAGGCAGAGGTCAGTAGAAACATCAGCAGTGGCATTTAACTGCAAGGATGATACGTGTAGTCATTCATGGATTGACTCGTAGAGCTTGCATAAGCTAGAAATCTTCTGCAGTGGGGGTGAAATGAGAAACCTGCAGATTCTCAGTCTGTTGCTATGCCATTTCTTTTGGTGTGAGGCAGCTTAAGTATTAATTCCATTCTTTCTTCCTACTTGCTCATTCCCTGTCTTCTCCTATCCCAGCAGTTGTTTTTGTAAGCTGTTTGTGACCCTGTGCATTAACCAGGGGAAGATTTAAAGTATGCTTTTTTAATGCTAGGTTACTGTAAGCTGATTTTTAACCTGTGTTAGTTTCCTCATACAGTATGCACATTCCTTTCCCCCAAAATAACCGATTGGGTTGACAGTACGACTCAAAATAAATGTCCTGGAAACATTCCCTGCGTGAAGTGCAATAAAAGCAAACTTTTGCATGTGAAGAGACACTGGGTGTACAGTTAAACATCCTCCTGCAGAGGAGAGTAGGGGAAAAAAATCTGAAAGATAGAAAGGGTGCTGATTTTCTTGCTCCATAAGTAACATTAAAATAAGTGATCATAGTTTTGAGAGACTAATATATTCAGTGAAGGCCCTCAAGATAATCTCATCCAGGAAAATTACTTTAGGCCTGGAATACAAAGCTGTCAATGTAAAAAACAGTGATGTTGCAGGCAGTATTGTGTTAGAGATAATAATCAATGCAACAGCATGAGGAGGACATAAAAAGAAATCTGTGGCCATCAGAGTTAAGAACATGTACCTGTGCTAGAGTATTTGGGGGAGAAGCCACATTCACAAACACTGAACAAAGTCTCAGTTTGCCAGTTATATTCAAATGGCAGGAATATAACCAAATCATGATGCTACATTTTTCAACACTGGTGCTGAGGCAAGCTGAAGCTGTGAAACAGAAACACTTCTGATTTGTGGGGAGATTTCCTGGGAAGTCGGCAGCTTTTCCTTCCAGTCTTCACTCTAAAAATCTGCTGAAAACAAGGGTGAGTGCAGTGGAAGAGCACACAGTGATAAACCTGAGTTAAGAAAAATGACTGTAAAATCAGAGTTAGCTTACCAAATTGCAGCATGTTCAGTATTGTACCAAATAAAGACAAAGTGGTAATTGCTAATTTCAGGGGGATTCAGTCATGTTTTTTATGTATTTACATGGTGTGTACTTGTACAACAGAATCTTGTTAAACTGTTTGTCTTGTCTACAAAATGTCTATTTCTCCCAACTTCGAAAAGCTTTTACAAAGCTTCACAGTGTTTCTAAATTTATTTTTCCTCAATTTTCCAAGATTTACTGAAAAATGTTAGACCTCCCCCCCACAGGCTTTAGCCAGATCTGTTAAGACTTCTGGATATGTTACACCTGCTGATTTTAAAATATGCATCATTAATAGCTGTTGTTTAACATCATCTTTATTTACAATAGAACTGTTGAGAATACTCGTGTTGAGTGGTTGAGAAAAATATGAAGGGCTTTTATGTATTATAAGATAAATTTATTTCAACAATAATCAGGATTCTAGAAACTAGTTACTAAAGGCATACTTTTTAAACAGGCAGATAAAGATGGTAGAAGTACTTAGAACTGGTTAAAGAGCTCCGTTACTGATTAATAAGATTTTTCAGTGAGTCTTGGACCACCTAAAACTGAAAGAAAGCACCTATCATGTTGATACGTGAAAGGATTAGGTGGAATGATTTTGACACTGAATGGTCGTCCCACCATCAATTCAGGAAAAAACACAGATCTGATAATGTAAAGTTCATGAATACAGGTTTAAAAGACTTTTAAAAATGTGGTACTGAAATAATGCTAGTCAGCATTGCTTATTGAAAAAGATGTCGAATCAACTGAGAATCTTTTGATGAGGTAGCATTCTTGGACAGTAAAAAACTGAACTGAAACGACCAACTCTCCCAAACCCAACCAACGAACCAGCCAGTGGGGCTGGAAAGAATTGTTTTAATACACCATTTACATTGCATCTTTAAGCTGAATTAATTGGAATAATCTAAAACACCACTTGGAAGATCATAGTCCTGACTGTACATTTTAGAAACCATCGTCTGTTATTGAGTATACAGATTCTTCCCTCCTTGCTGCCGAACCTTACCTATATAGGGTTCACTTTGTAAAGATAGTGTATACTACTTTATTTCACATTTAGAGTTGTAGACTTTCTTTTCCAAAAGACTGTTTGAAATGTATTCTGAGTGTGTTTTCCTTTCCATTTATCCTTGCGAGGTCCTCTGGTAGCTGTAATAATGAGATGTTTTTGAAGTTCTGTTGCAATGTCAGTTTCTAACTTTTGGGAGGGTCTTCAGATGAGCTGTACCACATTTACTGTAAAATACCTTATGCTAGGGTGTAAATGGGGAATTTGCATGTTCATGCACACACAGAATTAAAGGGGAGGGGAGCTTAAAAATCTATTATAGGCAAAACAGCTCTGGTATTCAGATGTCTCATAGCTGGCATTTTAGAGATAACTGGAAAAGCACAGAAGCTTTCATCCATATTCTTTTATGGGAGAAAATGCATTTGCTTGAATCAAAATTTTTTTTTTTCACTCTGTCTTAATAGAAATGCTGGTTTGGCATTGCCTTTAGCAGGAACAAGTTTGCAGCTGATTTCTTGTAGAATGAACAGATTTACATATTTGAAAATTTACAGGAGCTTTTAAAGGAATGGGTCTGTTTGGGGAGATCAGTTGTTCAGACAATTTCTGTTATTAATCCTATTGGCATTTGCCTTGTGAGAGTGTTAAAGAATGATAGAAATACAGAAGTAGTGAACGGGAACTGTTTTAAGAAGTGAGAAACACCATCTTTAAAGCTCCTTTTGTAAGGCCTTAGAGACACAATGAGCCTAATAACTCACCAGCACCAGGAAGAGGAGAGCTGTACGTTCCTGCCCTTCATCTTGTGTCAGCTCATGCTTCACAGATTATCACAGTGAACTGATCTATTTTCCATCAGAGAATTAATCCAGGAATGTTTTCACTGAAGAAAACCCCAAAACACCAAAGGATAACAACAAAAAAACCCCAATCCTAACCCCATAAAAGAAAAACATTTGGTTTTCTGTTGGGTTAGACAGTTGCAATGGTTCATGGCAGAGTCCAGAAAGCACCAGATCTCTCTCAAGAATGGAAGGAGGGAGGGTGAAGATGATGGTCTTGCCCTAGTGAAGCAGCAGGTCGGATCAGCTGTTCAGAATACTGCAGCCTTGCATTTTCTCCATCTGCCCTTGTGTACGGCCTCTGTTCACACCTTTCCCCATCACCCAATGGGATCTTCCAGGTTCTTGGGAAGAAATAAGGCTCTTAACTTCTCAGTTGCCAGAAAACTTAATAGCCGCTTGGTATCTTATCTCCGTAACTTCATGAATTTTTCTAACAGACTGTGATGTGAATCAAACAGTTAACATTTATATTACTCTTCTAGACTGAGCCCATCTGTCAGTGAGTTTGATGACATAATTGGTATTTGACTTTTAAATCTTGCTTCTTAATGATGTTTAATACTGCCATAGCTTCTTAGAATGTGTAATTAATTTACAGCAAACTGGTTTTTAACGCTGCATATTGTAGGCACTAAGTATGGAGGAAGAAGCATATTGAGCATGAGCAATTTAGAGAGGCACAGTACTTGACTAGCAAGAGTGCTAGGGACGTGTGTGCTGCTGGCCCATCGTGCTGCATGGAGACGTGCTCAGGAGGCAGGTGGGGAGCCCTTGCACCTCGCTGATGCCTGAGAAGCTGCTTGGGTGGCTTCGTGGCACACTGTGTCCCCATCACACAGCTGTGGCTGGGTGGACTGGAATGTAGTGGGGCTTCTGTGGCACCTGCAGAGCAATGTGAGCGAACAAGGAAAAGATTCAGCGTTACACTGAGCAAATAACTGTTAGAAAAAGGTCAGATAGGAACTTCTCTTTCCAGCTATTCTATGGTGGACGTTTTTGTGACTTCCTCAGACAAATTTGGTGTTAGTTGTGTCTGTGAACTAGACAATCACTGCTGTGATGTACTATGGCCAGCCGGTGCCCTGATATCACTACATACTCCATCCTGTATGTTTAGAAAGAAGAGGCATTGGATTTATTTTAAGAAAATTCACTTCTGATGTACCAGGTGTTTAAATGTAGATTATTAAAAAAATTTACAGTGGATCTTATATACTGAACACTGAACTGGTGATTGCACAGTAGCTGAGCTAATCTGATAGCCTGTTGCTACTTAAGGGGGAGGATTTTCCCCTCTCTGTCTTCCTTCCCTGCTCCTCTGTCATTGGATCCTGGGTAAGTGCTTGAAATGATCCATTTTGGACCCGTCCGTGAAGGTCCACAACTCAGTTTCCTGACTGTGGAAAAAAATGTATAGACTTATTTTGCTGAGCTAGTGAGTGGGACCAGCCTGCTGAGAAGTGTGGTGAGTGCCAGACCTGAGGATAGGTAAGTAGGAGGGTGCTCCCCTGGGGTCAGGAAGGTGATAAAGTGGAGGAGGAGTGGGCCGTTTTCCTTTCAGGAGGCAGCGAGTTGTTAGATCAGCTTCTGTGAACTCAGGACACTGCACCCTGCAGTTCTCATCCTGACGTCTTTACCTAGACGTGGGAGTAGGAGAAGCAGTGATGATTTTTGTGGGTTATACGTGTTTACTAAGTATCTGAAAATTATTCTCTTGTCAGACAGTATAGCAGAACTTGATCTCGGTGATGGAGTCCTACCATGTAAGCAGGCATTAAATATTTTGTCGAACGGATACAGATATTAACACATGCCTTAAGACATTTTAGTACATTTAATTTAGGGTCTGATCCACCTTCTTTGCAGTTGGTAGGCAGCACTTCATTGACTTCATGGAGAGGTGTATCAGACCCATTAAAAGGAGCTTCTCGTATAAGTTCATCTTAAGTTCTATTCCTCATTTTAATAACTTACCACTAGTAAATGTGAATCAGAACTTCACGATGAACTTGCTGGCATTTGCAGTACTGCTTCTCTATCTGAAACTACACAGTTTATAGTATGCTAATATATAGACATTGTTGTCAGCACAGTTGAGGTGTTTTGTTTTAATATATTTGGACTTGGGCACCTGATTAAGTTAATGCATGTTTAAAAAAATCCAGAACACTGAACAACCAAAACTCGTGTGCAGCAGATGAGCTCCAGCAACTGCATGTGCGTGCTCTTAGCCCTATAGAGAGCCTTTTCTTGTCCTGTAAGTGAAGGAGGGTCACCTTGCATTTGCCGTGAATACACCCATGATTGCTGCCTTGTTTACTTGTAAAGCCGCAGTAATATTATCATCTGTCTGATCTCTGTGTTAATTTAATGTTGTTTGAAATTAAGAACAGTTTGTGGAAGATTGTGTGGCTATGATCTTAGCATTGTACCATGTCAACTGAAAAAACGTTTTGTTAATGTAAAATAAGTTATTTTTTTCACTGAAGCTCTTGACAAACATGCACAAGTGTTATAAGGGTAATTTTTGTATTTGTTACTAATTGTTTTCTTCTTTGTTCCAGCTAACCACACGTACAGTGCATAATGGAATCTCATGGGATGCGGTCTGAGAAACGGGGCTTTTTTTAACCACACAGAGCAGTGCAGACGGGCGGTTGTTCCTTTCAACATAACTATCACAGGCTTCAGGGTTAAGATTGCTATTACTGTCTCCTCCTTGCTTTGGCACAAAAGCACGCTGAGGGTGTTTAATTGCGGGTTTGCCTAAAGGTAGATTAGATTAATTATTACTATGTAATGCAAGTTAAAGCAAATAAAGCTTAGCTAGGTGTATAAAAAAAGGTGCTGCCTTTTTGGATTTTTTTAAAAAAAGCCTGTCAATCACAATGAAATGCAGCCAACTTTCTTCATATCAGTGAAAGAAAAGGACTGTTTACCCTGTGAAGGGGATATTTATGTCAAGATGAGCATATGAAACGGAGTAGAGGAGGAAGGTTTCTCAGTGAGAAGGACTGCAATTGCTTTCAAGACTCGAAGTTGTGCTCTTGAAGACTGCAGAACTAGCTTAAAAATGAAGCCTTATCACTTGAACTTCAGTGCCTTCACTGCAGAGTTCGTAACGGCCTTCATGCTAACCACCCACTATGGAATGGATCAGTGTTAAATATTTTGCATTATGCTTTACAAAATACTGATTCAGCAGGTTTGTAAAGGGGGGGAAACAAGTAATTGCCTTTAACCTATGCATTTTTGCCAAGCCATACCGAATTATTTTACTATTAGAGGCATTAGAAACTAACAGTAAAAAGAACCACCAAGTTTGGAAGCGTATTTTGGGGTACATCATTTCTATAACTGTATAATGTATTGCCTTACAATTTTAAGTGATAACATACATTAAGTTAACAAACATTTAAGAAATACATGCACTGTTTGAAATGTAAATTATTCTTAGAACACTTTTACTGGGTTTTACATTGTCCTTTTAGTGCCTTAATTTGAGATAATTGTATTCTTGCCATGTCAATAAATGTAGAAATCTAAAGCTAAACAAAGGCAGCCTCTAAAAATCTACTGCGTATCAGTGGTTTTTTACTGAATTTTAATTGGTTGAAGTATTGTAGATGCTAGATGCATTTTCTAAATTAAGTACAATCTTTGAATGAGAATTCCTCCTACAAAGACTGATTCTGTTTCATAAGCCAAGAGATGTGTAGGCAATGCAAAAAAAAGGGGGGGGCAAAAAAAAAGCATCTAACACAAAAGCTCCAGGTAATTCAGGAATTTCAGTAAATGCTGTCAGACTCTTGCTTTGTAGCAGGAATACATTCATGGTATGGGCAGTATGGTTTTGTTTTATTTTATTTCTTAACCAAATACCTCCTCAATAATTTATAATGGCTTTGCAGTTGTGTATTAAATAAGAAGCACTGGAAAACTGATTCGTCCTTAGGACGATTTGCATGTTTCAAGTGGTATTGAAAGCCGCACTGATGGATATGTAATAATAAACATATCTGTTATTAATATGGTAATGACTCTGTGCTCATTTAATGAGAAATAAAGTAATTTATGGAAAGATCCTTTTGAAAACGACTGGCATGGTGTTTTCTCCTAACGGCAGCATATACATAAGCATTCAGACATTGCAACAGCTTCTGGTACAAGGTGCATTTGCAACATAATACCTAGGGGACTCTGAAACATCTTTTTACTATTCTACATGAATAAGTAAATACCTTATTAAATACTTTTTTCATTCCCTTATTCTCATGGCCTGCTGTAGTAGCCTAATTCATATTTATTATTCAACCACCACTCTGAGCTTGCCTTGTCATTGCTTCATCCTTCACGATGCAGGTTTGGAGCTGCAGAAATCCCACTTATTTGGGGGGATGGAACCCTGTTCAAAAGACAAAAAAATGGAGTGGTTTCTGTTTGTTGGATTTTTTGTTTGGTTTTAGTTTTGGAACAGCCTGTGCATCCCATGAAGCTAGCTGTCCATACATCTCCCCAGGTAACCCACCAAGGCCTGCAGAGCAATGGTGTTGGAGTAAGGATGGACACATTAAATGTGAATGATTTTATGTCCTTTGAAGGTCACAGAGCTGGGAAGTATAGATACACAGAAGTAGGTGATGTGGTAATTTCAGAAAGCTCCTCTGTGTTGAGCTTACTGTATCAGAAATGTCAGCAATTTTCAAAGCTGTGGCTGGAGCACACTAAAGACTTCTTCCAGATCGCCAGTTGCATTGACTGTTAGCTTGCAAAGCAATACAAGGGCTAATTATGACCTGCTTTAGTCTCAATCATATACCCAAAGGGGAAATAATATAGTAAGATGATTAAACGTATCTGACTTAAATACATATGTTAATATAAGAAATTCAGAGCAATAGAAAAGGCCTATGGTCAGGTCATTCTCCAGACCCAGATCAGGTTTGGGATTGCTTTTCTGCTTTCCTTTATGTGTAACAGGCTACATCTACAGGCTCAAAAACTCTTGCTTGAATAATTTCTTCATTAAAAAAAAAGTCGTATCTTGTAGTTCCGCATTTTATGACTCTGAAAAATAGCGTAAAACCTGTTACAAATAGATAATGACTAGTGGGGAGAGGGAAGGATTCTGGAAAAAATGGGTTTTCTCTACAGACTGGCACAGACTATCACTTCCATAGCTTTTTAGCAATGTTGAAACTCTGCAATTCTTTTTAAATGATGATTTTGCTTGGGAAAGAAGCAGCAGACATAATGAAGTGTAAAATTACATTGACTTGTATGTCTGGGATAAGTTGCAACTAAAATGCTGTAATAATAAAGTCTAGACATGCAAATTACAGTTTTTGTGCTCTGGTATACTGATGTTGGCACTTGTTTACTGTAAGCAAGGTGCCTATCTACAGGAATTGCTATACTTTGAATAGTAAATTCAGCCAAAGGTTTCTACCGTTAGAAGTAATGCCTACGATATCAACTGCAAACAAGATATTTCGAGGGAAAAAAAAAATTGTTGCTAAACTTCTAGCAAGCATCAGCTTTACCATCCAGAACAAAAATCATCAGTGTGCCACTACGTTCACTACAGCTCCACTTTTTCCGACTCTTGCCTTCTTATTTTGCTTAGCTTTTACCCTTGTCACTAACTGCTCCTCTTACAGGAAACATTTTGCCTACGCTCATCTAACACAGCGCCAGAGAGTCAGCACGAGATGTGAACTCGTAAGCTGTGAAGAGCTAGCGGAAATCAACCTGGCTTTGTCCAGATCGGCAAAGCTGCTTGAGAAAATCAAGAAGTCTAGGTTCTTATGTGATCATTTTTTGCTGATTTGCCTCCATCTTTTTTCCATTTTCTATTAGTGTATTAAATTGAAAGTTCATTAGTGTTAGTAGAATGCCAAAATCTGCTCTTTTTCATCCCCTCTCCAAGCCCTCCCCATTCCTG